TGTTAAATGTCTTCAAACTTCCGCAGCAGATGAGGGAGACGTAGGAAATTCTCTCGAGGGTTGTTCTTTGTCTGTGGCTTGTCGTCCAAATTGACCCTGCTAAAGCCTCGATATCTCAGAGCTGAGCGATGCGATTTGAACGAGTCAGGTCTCATTTCAAAGTGTGGGAAAATACCTTGAAAATGGGGGTCAGTCGTCCAATTCGACTCTACCGATCGGAAGATATGGCAGGCTGAAGATGATCGGAATAATACGACTTGCGAAACATCATGACATTAAGATGACTTAACTGTATCCTCAATATCGTCTAATCAAATGATGCAAATCGAGCGAGTCAAGAGTAATTTTAAACCCTGAAAAAAGATGTTGGAAATGGCGTGTGAATCGTTAAATTCTACTCGGTGGATCTCGAGTTATCGTAAATTAAAAACCATTAAAACATCCTGACGTGCAAAAACCTCTTGAATTCATGGGAGAATGAATACTGCTAACCGCAAGAGCATCATTGCAGTCCCGCCTCTCGTCATCCCTTTGTGTCAATATATCTGGTGCAACAGCTTCAAACGAACTCATCGAAGGATCAGGTGGATTGGATCCCTCGCAAAGTCGAATGAAGAGGTACGAAAATATTCTCATAAAGAAAAGCAACTTGTGATGTGTGCCACGGGCTTCCCACGCGTGTCAGACAGAGAAGGATTACATGGAGGTATGACCAGGAGGCCTGCATGTAGCCGAGTTACCTATGATATTACGTAGAAAACGCGTGTATTGAGGAGAGAAGGCCAGCAACCCGCTGGGATGAGGTCGATTGCTTGTACGCCCCGACCGGTCAACATTGCACGAACAAAGAAGCCAATACTGAGTTTAGCAGCTGCAAGGAGAAAATCATAAGACAACACGATGAGAAAACAAGCTTTAGATGAAAAACAATCCCGTTAATTCGAAGGAAATGTCTTTTTTTGTTGGAAAATCTGACATTTTGGAAGTTTTCAAATCTGTCACTGGAAAAATGTGAAAGTTTTACACAGAATTGAATTGATTTTTTCGAAGAAATCTTCTATTTTGATAAAATCGGCTGTTTTATTTCGACCTTCGAATGTTTGTCTCAATGTTTCTAATTACATCAGTTGAAAGCTTCTATACCTTTCCCACGAGGGAGATGAATCATCTCTATGAACAATGACAACTATCTTCATGACCTCCAAAAACAATGAGTAGACAAAACTTTCCGGAAGAATGGGAACAGCGGAGTCAATACGCAGCATTGCAGCATGAAGAAGACAATCATAAGACAACATGAAGAGAAAACAAGCCTTCGATAAAAAAAAAATTCCCAATGCGAAACTGTTCTTTTGTTCAGAGCTTGACGATTTCGGAAGGTTTACATTCGGAAAAGAAGAACAATTGGCCATTTTGTCATTCCTTTGCAGACAAATATGAAAAGATCCGGATAAGATTGACCCAAACCCATCTTATCTTTCTCAATCTCTTCCCAAACCAAACAATGACATGACGAAAGATAGTTGCAGCGCAAAACCCCTCATTCCTCATCGATAAGATTGAAGCAAATCCATCTTATCTGTTGTAATCTGTTCTTAAACCAAACTAGGAACCAACGAAATCCCAAAAATCTCATACTTCTGGAACTTTTCGCTCCAGATACTCAATGACACAGTAACGAAAAGTAATATTCGCGAGACAGAAGTAATAACCCCGTGTTTATCTGAGCATTAATGCGTATCTGAGACGCCACTGCACCTTCGTCAAAGCCCCTCCAACCGTCTGTTCCCACAAGAGCGTAAAAAGTTTTTTCATTCTTCCTGATGACTATACCGTGTCAACGAGTATTTGGATCGATGGGTTGAATGCCCTTCGGCGGTTTTCACCATTGAGTTTAGAAAACGCGCTCAACTCGTCGTTTCGCCTGATTGAAGCTCAACTTTTGTCTATTCATTCTTCCTAAAGAACATTGTGAAGATAATTGTTGTTACATTGTCCCTGGGGGCGATCGATTCGACTTATTTGAGAGGTATGGAAGTTTCTCAGTGATGGGATTAGGAAGATCAGTCAGGTGAATTAATCAGAAATTTGAAAGAAGCCGGCGTTCTTCGAACTTTTCGTGCGAAAAGTTTTAAGAAAATCGCTAAATACGTTTTCCTAAGACCAAATGAAGGGTTTTGTGCTTAAAACATTGATAGATGTCATTTTTGTGATAAGAAGTTTCGTCACTTTCGTCATCTCATCAATCACAAGTCCGGATTAAGACACTTGAACACCTTCGATTTTCATTTTTCCATTTTTTCAAATATGAAGAAGGCTAAAATGAACTGTTTTGATCGACATTAATTCAACATTGGCAGAGTGAAATTCAATGATTTTTTTTTCAACTTGAAGGTATTTTTTCAACCTTTAAAATGAAACCTGACTCGTCCAAATCGCATCATTGGGTTAGGATACATCGATGACTTAAGAAGATCTTTGCAATCGCGAAGAGCTGTCTCCATTCTTTATGAAAATCGCAAAAGTAGATTTTCCAAGACTAAATAGTAGTTTATGTCCTTAAAACAATGACAGATGTTGTTTTCTCGATAAGGAGACTCATCGCTTTCGTCATCTCATCAATCACAAGTCCAGATCAAGACATCAGAAGAATTTCAAAGCTTACACAGAGTAATTAATCTACGAAAGACTGAGATGACCCGTTTTCAACCGTCAATAACTCAACATCAGTAGAGTGAAATTCAGTGATTTTCTTTTCATCTTGACGATTTTTTTTTCACTCTTCAAAATGAGCTCTGATTCATCCCAATTGCATCACTCGGTCAAGAGATATCGTTCTAAGAAGGTGATTTTTATTTCAAGCTGCAAATACGCCGCAGACATTGAAATCAACTCAAAGTATGCGAGATGAGTGAGCATTGACGATCAATACACCACCAATAATAATAAAAATTCATGCGAGGTCGGTCTGTGACGGGAGTAAACGACAAGCCAACAGCAATGTTACTTAACCGTGGGAAAATACTTGAGCGTACCGTTGGAAACGTTCTTTATCTCAACTACAGACGCCATTTGAACGTGTATTTTGCGTAGAAATGAGGTTTATTAAAATTTATAATTCCCCGACTACTTCTAATCTAGATGCGTTTGACAACCGGACAAGTTGTTAATTATTTCTCGTGTTAATTATCTCAGGTGAAGTCATTTCGCACTGATTAGATGGGAATTGTCCCGCTTCCGTTATTTCAGTTTTTTTTTTAAATTCCGGATGTAAATAGAACATCCTGAGGAACTCGATTGTTTCCAGAATCTGGTCTTGGATTTTGCCCTTGGGAAGAGAGCGTATCGCCCCGCTATGTGGAGGGAGTTTGCACTTCCGTCACGGCGCGTGTGGTTTCCGGTGTTTTCGCCCAGTGACAGGACGTTCAGACGCTCCTTCACTTGTACTGTACATGCATAATACTTTCGGGTTATTGATAGCTATCAGTGAGAATCTGACTCTCGTACCGGACGGACGGTCTTACATTTCCCCATTTCATGTTGGGTGATAATTATGAGGGTCCGACGGGTTCAAGCACTTTATTCGTCTGTTTATGGAGAATTTTGTGAGGAAATCACTTGAATTATTATTTTCTTTCATTTGTTGGTGGAGGAAAATTGAAATTTCGTGGAAACAAATCATGAAGTTTCGGTTTTTACTGGACATTTAGGGAAAGTTGACATTTTTGTGGAGCGAAACATGAATATTTGGAATCAAATTGCACGAAATTCTCAATTAATTACAGAATTGCATTCAATTAATTTTAATGGAATTACAAAAAATTACAACAATTAGATTGAAAAGAAAAATTGAATAAGTGAATTCAAGAATATATTGACCTGAATTTTCCTAATTTCTATCAATTTTCAAGACATAATTGACGGGAAATTGAAAATTTCAAGGAAATATGATAAAAAAATTTCAGTGACTGAATTTTACAGTTTTAATTTACTTTTACGTGAAATCTCAAGTTTTGAAAATTAAGTGGAATTCCACATTTTTTAGCAACATAGCAACAATATTTAATGTTTTTTTTATTTTCCTTGGCATATGTATCGTATTCGAGTTTTTACATACACATTTGCGGTTTCCTGGGCCGACTAACGCTTCAAGAGAAACCATGGAAAACCTTGGTCGACACGGGCGTCCAGTGATCGAGCTTCATCGGAGAATGTTTTTCCGAATACTTTTCCGATGACTCTCGGTGTCTAGACTTCCGTTCGACGGTTTACGAAAACTTAAAAATTCCAATTGCCCCAAGCTGGACTCGAACCCGCGCCATCGGGTCCCGCCGTCCGGCCGAGCGATTTAACCACTTCGGCCACCATCGCCGATCATCAATATTTAATATCAAATTATTAATTACAAAATTGAATTATATTAATGTTAATTAAATAAAAGAAAATGGAACCTATTAAATTGAAAAGAAAAAGAAAAAAGGAAACTCTGAAGTTTACAATTTTCATTTACTTTTTCATAAAATTTAAATTTTTGAAAATTCAATAAAATTCCAATTTTTTAGCAGCAAAACATCAATATTCAGTATCAAATTATTAATTACATAATTGAATTGAATCAATTTTAATTGAATAAAAGAAAATTTAAAAATTGAATTTGAAAATAAAAAATAAAAAATGAATTCAAGAATATATTGACCTGAAAGTCAAAACTTAAAATTTTTAAAATTCACTGAAATTCCAAATTGTTTAGTTGATAAATTTAGTTCTAATTTAATTGCAAAATTGAATTAGATTAATTTTCAGAAAAAAAAAATTGCAAATTTTCAATTGAAAAGAAAAAATGAGCGAGTCAATTAAAAAATATGCTGACCTTAATTGAATTTTCAAGAAGTAATTGATTCGGAATTGAAAATTTCAGGGAAATAACATGATAAAAACCACTCAACAGTGAATGACTGTGTAAATTCTTTTCTCAATTTCTTCATTATTTTTTGTTGCAGCACCAAGATCATCGAGCGCAGGCACAAACAACCTGCCTCCCCTGACATTTCACCATCAAGTGCACGGGGATAACATCACCCTGTGCAATGGTGGCACTATAGCGAGGAGACACGAGAGTTTCTGCAAAGGAATAACGTTCAGCACTCGGCCTGTTCGCATCGGTGAAAAGGTACCGTCATTCACGTTTTTCTGTTGGCAATTTTTTCATTTCCATTTCCCACTGTCACGGAACGATGCCTGCCTTTCTTTATTTCACCGTGAAATTATATTTAAAAAAAGAAAAAAGAACGGGAATGGAAGCGGGGAAAAATTGTAAATGGTCAACCTTGGCCGCTGGCGCAATCTCGAACCCCTGCCCACACGCATTCCCGTATCACTAGGTTCTTCTAGTGATAATAAGCCTGCGTGGGAGACTTGAACATAATGTTTGCAATTATTCGTCAAAATTAAAGCGAGAGAATTATTCGAAATGCCTAATATAGAGATCGAAGATGAGACGCCAACACCATTTTATTCGATTTTAAATTCTCCAATATTGACATTTTTAAATGTCAAACGCGATAAAATAACTATCCTTTACAGTTCCTATGAATTTTAATCATCTGATTAAAAAAAATTCATAAATATTAACTCTTTCATAAATTAATAACGGAGTCAAGCCAGTTTTCATGAATTTTTATTCTCGTGTTGTAATATAAAAATGTAAAATAAACAGAAATGTCTACAAGGGATTGAGATTTTGTTTTTCATTTTTTTTATTCATATTTGTTTCCTACTACCATTGCGGTTTTATAGGCTCCCCATTCGTCTGCCTTTTGCCTCTCACACTTCACTCTTCTAATTTTTATCTGCGACAAATTCACTTGATAAAATTATAATGATCTCGTTAGGTCTGTGTAAAGTTCCTGGAAATGTCCAACAACTGGTCCGGAGTGATAAGGTTTGGCTTCACAAGCAACGACCCAATTCACTTGCGAAATGGTCTTCCAAAATTCGCATGTCCCGATTTAACGAACAAACCCGGCTACTGGGCAAAAGCCCTTGCCGAGAGATTTGCCGCCCACGACACAGTTCTATTCTACTACGTAACATCAGCCGGTGACGTGCATTTCGGTGTTAATGGTGAGGAAAAAGGTGTTTTCTTCGGTGGTGTGGAGACACGTGGACCCCTGTGGGCTGTTATCGATGTTTATGGCAACAGTACAGCCATTGAGCTTGTGGATCCCAACAGACAGCACTTCAACAACATTCGCAGAGGGGCTGAACACAGTAATGAGGATAATGCACAGCCCAGCAGGCACACTGCCATGGATGATGCCAGCAATGCCGGAAGGGATGTTGTCGAGAGAATTATTGTACCGTCAATGCAGAATGTCTGTATACACCATGAGCCTGATGTCGAGCTGCCTGGACTCAGGTTTCAACCGCCTGGTGTACTTTTCGCACCTCTACCCTTTCATCCGTGAGTATTTGCATTCGTTGAGTTAATTGGAGCGTTATTCATAGGAAAAACAAGTGGGAAATTGCTCTGGTATAGCTACTTTTGCTAATAAGTTAGCAATATGTTTTCGAATGGTGATTTTCCACATCATTTGTTTCTATCATGTACTATTCAGTGGCGAATTGGTAAAACGGTACAAGTCAATTTTGACTGGTTTTCAATGAATATCCTGAAATTTAAGGGAGATGGCAAAATTTTTGTTATAACCTTTTTTGTAGAGCCGATTGAGAGCTAGAAAAAATGTAATCACGAAAATTTCCCTATCTCCCTTGGATTCCGAAATATTGCTCAAAAACTCAACTGGGAGATAAGTCGAGTTAAACCGTTTTACCACTTCACTACTGAATTCATTGTTTATTTCATTGTCTCCTTTTACCTAATTTCGTCAGATTTTTAACTTTGTTGAATGTTATCAGCATCATTATTCTTATTATACCTTTTCTTCTGTACAACCGATTGTCTTTTTTACAGTTCTATCTCGTCCCTTAGCCCTTTGATAAAATGTTGATAGAAAATTTTTATTTAGATGTACTTGAATGAATTTGAAACATCACATTTGAATCTCACTTTCGCGGATATTCATGAAAAATTAAAAATTGTTCATTTTTATGATGATTGTTTTTCCATCTTCATAATGTAAAATATATCACAATTTCCATTGGATTTTACATCGCGGAGGAGCCCCTAAAAACTATAATTGTACAATAAAAAAAATTAGAAAAAAAACTGAACATTTATAATTCATAATTCAGGTAGGAAGATTGACGATTATTTGGATAATCGAAAATCAAGTACCTAAAATTTAGAATTAACTTGTTAACGGAAAATTCACATTTCAATATTAACAAAAATTTTATTCACCATTAATCGATAATATTTAGTTATTAAATTTTATAATATTCTGAATTTCGATAAGTATAGTTAAACTTTGATCAATACAAGTAGGTAAACCTTCTTAATATTGCCGAAGTCTCATATTGTCGGCCACCCCTGGTATTGGGTTTATTTCCCAATATTACAAAAAAATGCTCTTTAACAATATTCAGCTTATTTTCAACGTTTTTTCGATTGTTCAATCATAATTTTCGGAGACTCCAGGGCTATCTAAAACTGAATATCAATCGGACATCATTTCAGATTATCAAAATAAAAAAAAACAACCAAGCTCACCTTCGAAAGATGACCCGTCCGGGCCTTAAAATCTTAATACCTCCCTAAATCCCCAAATTCTTAATTTTCCTCCAGTGTTCGTGGCCGGAACATAAGATTCAGCAACCAGCAGTGCGTGGCAACGCGTTCTGACACAGAATTCTGTCACGGTTATGCCTTCACCAGCCGGCCCCTGCTCCTGGGTGAGCGCCTAGTCGTCCAGGTGTTGTCCACCGAGCCGATGTACGTGGGCGCTCTAGCCCTGGGTTTGACCTCCTGCGACCCATCCCGCCTGAGCCCGGAGGACCTGCCCGACGACAGCGATCTCCTCCTGGACCGTCCCGAGTACTGGGTGGTGTCGAAGGACGTCGCCAGCAGTCCCCAACCAGGCGACGAGATCGCCTTCACCGTCACCCACTACGGAGAGGTCCAGATGAGCAAGAATGGAGGCCCCCCCAATGTAGTGATGCACGTGGACGAGAGCCTCCAGTTGTGGGCGTTTGTGGACGTCTATGGGAGCACCCAGAGGGTGCGAATGCTGGCGAGTCGTCCAACGTCACCCCCTAGACAACGGCAGATCGTTAATTCAACTCCAGCCCCTGTGCAACAGCAATCCAATCACTCAAATGCTGCCACTGAGCTGTCCAGGTTCTCGGAAATGGTGCAGTTTAAACCCACTGTTGGAGGTGGTACTGTTCTCGTTGTTAATCTTCCACCACAGCCTGGGTATCCACCGGCCACTCCTCAGCCTATTTATGGAACAACTGGGGTCAGGAACTCACCCAGTTTTCACTCACCAGCACCCTCGGCAGCGCCAGTTCCAGCAGTTGATACTGGTATGATTGCAATGTTTAAATGCAATTTTTTGAAACATCTCTTTGCATTTTCACACTTGGCTTTTTTTATTTTCATTTTTTATTTGCTGGTTGATGCCATTTTATTGTGACATTTTTCCTGTTTAATTCGATATTCTTTTTTTTTTATTGTTTATAATTATTGATTATAATCATTCTCATTGCAAACAGCGATACGGAGGATGGGAATCATATGTCGCAATTTATCAGCTGACAAGTGTTCATATTACAATAAATTATGGGATCGTTCTCTAATCGATAATCTTCTCCGACAATTGAATTCCTTGTAGAACACACTTTAGAGTGTGAATTTCTGGAATTCAAATATAAAATTTCTGATATGATTTGGTCAAAGTGAAAAACACGAGCATCATTTTCACTATATTGTACTCAGATTGTTCTATTCTTAACGTAAAAAAATTTGAAATAGGGGGTCTATTGAATTTTCTATCAGTTTGCACGATTCTATTGGCAAAATTTTTCTAATTTTTTAGATAGGAAATGTTTAATGGAGAATATTTTATTGAAAATGTTAATAAACTTGGATTTTTCTGTAAAACTTATTCTAATGAGCTACTTTCTATAGATATAGATATTCTATACAACAAAAATCCAAATCGACTTCTGGTGATGAAAATTTGGTACTCGAAATTAAGGCTCCAAAATTAAGGGTCAAAAGTGAAGGGTCACGAGGGGTATAATGAGGGTCACAAGATCCAGAATATTAGATAATATTGAAATATAAATTTTTCATTGACAAGTTAATTCTAAATTTTAGGTACTTGATTTTCGATTATCCAAATAATCGTCAATCTTCCTACCTGAATTATTGGTTAATAAAATAATTCAAAATTTTTTCAAGATTTTGTGTTAATAATTGACAACTTCATAATTTAACGGCAATTATAATTGATGAATGGGGCTATCTCTGATGGGGATCACATGAGCAGCGGGCGTAGCCCCCTAGTGAATAAATAATGATGAAAAATAAAATTAAAAATTAAATAATTAACAATTATTTCTGTCCAGCAGTTGCTTCTCCCATCACCCATCCTAAATTATTGGTTAATAAAATAATTCAAATTTTTTTAAAGATTTATGTTAACAATTGACAACTTCATAATTTAATGGCAATTATAATTCACGAATGGGGCTATCTCTGATGGGGATCACATGAGCAGCGGGCGTAGCCCCCTAGTGAATAAATAATGATGAAAAATAAAATTAAAAATTAAATAATAATTAACAATTATTTCTGTCCAGCAGTTGCTTCTCCCGTCTCCCATCATCCTGGAAGGCAGAGCACGTCTCCACCACTGCTCACAGGCACCATGAGCAGCACCGGCTCCTCGACGTACGTCGACCCAGTGAATTACCAGAGCATTGACACCTCGACTCTCTCATCGTCTCAGTCCTCTCATCTTCAACAGTGGAGTGAGAGGCTTCAGCCCACCCCTGGACAGCCCAGCGAGTGCTCAATCTGCTACGAGAGGAACATCGACAGTGTCCTCTACATGTGTGGGCACATGTGCATGTGCTATCCTTGCGCCATTCAGCAGTGGAGGGGCAAAGGGGGAGGACACTGTCCTCTCTGTCGTGCACCCATCAGGGATGTCATCAGAACCTACAGATCTTGAAGAACTGGGGAATTTCTCTGAGAATGTCTGATGGTGTCTGGTGGAATTCTTTTCTCAAGGCTTTTTCGCGCCGGCGCGAGGGGATGGAAATTGGGGGGCTTCCTGGGGGGAACACTGCCGCGGGGGAGGGGGGATTGGTGAGAAAAGACAATTATTTAAATGCATTCTCGATATTATTTTCTTTTGCTTTCATAAAAATTTCTCTGAAAAAATGAATCCAAGGCCAAAAAACGAAAATTGACTTTTGTTTTTGGAGAATATCTCGAGAACGGAGGGACATACGGCTTTCCATGTCTAAACCTTTTTCGTAGAGGAAATTGAGCGCTACAAAAAAGGTCTCGGGGTGAATTTCGGTAGGTCGTTTGGATCTCGAGATATTCAGCGAAAACTGATTTGAGGGCAGAAAAAATGATATTGAATTGTCGTCATCAATCCCCTTTTGAATAAATCGTGATAATTATCTGGGGAACGAGCATTGAGTTTAAAATTAGGTCGTTTAAAAAAAAGATTGAGAGAGAACGCGACAGACTGAGTCTAGGCTCTTATTACAACACTTTATGAATGTTTTTTACGTCAACGATTATTACATGCCACAATGTTTTACACCAATTGATGCCAACTGTCAGTGTTTTGCCAAGGTTATTATCATTATTTTGTATCTTTTTATTTTAGAATTTAGGATTTTTTTTTCGTCGATTTACTAGGGATATTTGTTGACTCGATTGGTCCACAGTATCGTTTATTATTTTTTATTAATCTTATCAGTTATGGACTAATGTTATTTAGGGTAGGTTAGATAGATCATGCCGACATGTCAGGCATCTGAGTATGTAGGAAATTCACGAAATAGTTATTGCAAATTCAATGACTCAGGAGCAAAACGAAATTTCAATCTTTTTCATGTTTTCACTCAACAAAAGTAAAACTGCACGTGGTTTTTCCTGAAATTCTCCGAATCCGTGGGAGATACGACCTTTTGTTCCTAGAGAATTTTTGCAGCTTATGAAATTCCCCACAAAAAATGTTTTGTCACAAAAAGTCGTATCTCCATTCGTTCGCGAGATAACTGCAAAAAACCAGTGATGAAATTTCGTTGTACTCCCTTATCATTGAATTATTCATCACGTTGGCATTCAAATGTTCTTTTCTCAACTCCTAATTCTCCCCGTTATTTACCAAAGAACCTCCATATCCATATAATCATTTGATAAAAACCCGTAATGGTATGAGTATGAAAACAACGAGCCAGGTTACTGACGAAATGATACCACAAGACGATTTGTCAATTTGTTTTCTTGAAGAGACACTGGGTCGAGGAGCGTCATCATCATCAGGGCCTCGATCACTGCCAAAAAAATCATTAATTACTATAATCCGTGCTTTTGTGTAGTATTGCGCGGTCCATTCGGTGCCTTTGATAACGGTAATCGAATTATTCCTAATGAAAAACAATAATTGAAGAACAATGACACTTTTTTGCGAATTACTCTTGATTTTTCGACGACGTTGGTGAACTGTAGCTGAAGAATGTTTTTAACGTATTGATAATGTACAGAATTTTTTGACAGAGATTAACTTAACAGACTGGGTCGTTAGTATCTTATCGTAAATTAACAATCGATATTTGGTAATATTTATTATTTTTCGGTAGAATTTTACAATTGTATTTATAATTTATGGCCAAAATTTTTGAGAATGTGGCGGGGATTTTTGGATTTTTTCGGAATTTGCGGAGACACGACATTATTCGTTTATATCTTGAGATATTCAGCAAAAACTGAATGGTGAATTTGTATTTAAAACGAAATTTCTGAAATTCACTCGTTTTTTACTCCAGTTTTTTGGGAATATCTCAGATTCCATTGGAGATACGACTTTTTCACTCTAAACCTATTTTGTAGGTCTTGAAATTATCTGCAAAAATTGTAATTACGAAAATTTCACCATCTCCCGCAGATCCCGAGATATCTCCAAAAACCTAAACTCCCCCCAGAATACGATGTAACAAAAAATTATTCAAGTATGATAAGGCTTTTCTCAATGTGCGCGACTACTCGAAGAGTCTCAGACACTCCGAGTGCCTCAGTGAGCGCGAAAACTATAAAATTATCATGAAAAAAAAAAAAGAATGATTGTCACGAATGGTGGGCACGCAATAAAGCAGTAGTGAAATCTCTAGTCCAGCGAATGGCAGCTTACTCCTCTGCCACAATGAATTTAAAAAAAATGAAGAAAGAAAATTTAATAAAGTAAGAATATTTGGTTTAATGTCATGAAGAATCATCATTTGGAAATATGTAGCAAGTGCATTTTATGACTATTCCATATTGAATAAATGAAAAATAATAAAACAAAATTCTTATTATTTCGTCAGCGTAATTCATTTTTCCATATTTATAGCTATTAGGCAGAGGACAATTCATGAGATCGTGGATTTAATACGAATATTTATACAAACTTCTAGTGAGAATAAAAAAGTAAATGTAAAAGTGAAACATAATGGAGTTTAATGTTCCAAAAAAAAATTTGAGGTAATCCTGATTGTATGGCTAGGACAATTGTAATGGATATCGAGTCATTTTTAATTCTACAAACCAATGGAGTCATCTGACTCCACTTTTTCTATTGGAAAATATCAATTCTCGTCCTCCTGCTGCGCATTGCGATTGAATTCTCACGATGTGAGTCAAACTCACTCGTGTAGTCTGAGGGCCAGTGCGAGATTTTATCCATAGAGTTGGATTTTTCTGTGTGGGAGGTATCAGACGTCAGATTGAACTGTATACATATGTAATATAATGAACTCGTACTGAGGCAGGTTTAAATAAAAAGAAATGTACTGATAATTGGACTGTTTTTGTTATTAATCCTGTTGATTATTCCTAATCGTTTTGGATTTTTTTTCAAGGAGAGAAGTTTCCACAATCATTTGTTCAAATTTAACAACTAATTACTGATTTTAATGCGGATCGAAGGATGATGATTAATAATGAATGTTGATTGAATTATATCAATTAATACATTCATTATCATAGAACTTATAGCTTAATTGGTAAGAGCTTTGGTCCTAAATTCTGAAGGTGGTGAAACCTGCCACTAGAGTGTATCGGTATTTCGTCAAATCTACTAAATTATTTAATGCATTAATTATCTATGAATTAATAATAACTTAATGTTGATTAATTTTTTCAACAATCAATTGTTGAATGTCAACAGATAATTGTTGAATTTCAATGGAACAAATTAAAATTATATTTCGCACACTTGTGCTCATTCTCAATTCTCTCAGCCATCCTGATTATTTCTATTCATTTTCTCATATTTATGAGAAAAATACCCAACAAACGTTTGTTAAAATTTAACAAGTCATTACTGAGGATTAATAATGAATGTTGGTTAAAAAATTTCAATCAATAATACAATCATTACTACAGGACGTGTCGTAGCTCAATTGGTAAGAGCACTAGTCCCATAATTTGAGGGTTGTAAGTTCAAAACCCTCTGCTGTGAGATTATGTTCGATAAAGTAAATTTGATGACAATTTTTTTATTACATCAACTATCAATTAATAGCTATTAATTATTAATTCATTTTAATTATTTTTTCAACAACCGACTGTTCAATGTCAACAAACGATTGTTGAATATCAATAAAAAAAATGAAAATGATAATTCATAGCCTCAACGCTCCCAATTTTGCACACTTGTGCTCATTCCCAATTCTCTCAGCCATAGTTTTCCCCCAGTACTCGTAATCCGAGTAGTTGACAGTCTGCAGCCACTCGAACTTGAGGATATCCGCAATCCTCTGACTATAATTCGAAGTGAAAACTCCGAAGGCAACTTCGGGAATGACCGCACTCTCACCGGTTCCGCGTTTCTTTAGGCCTCTGGCGAGTGTCAGCGAGGCGGCCACGACCCCCTGCCCGATCCGGAATCCCCGGTACTTGGGGTCCGTGCCCACGTAGAAGACCTCCATGGCCCCTCGCGTGTTGTATTTCTCAAACAGATCCACTCGTGACTCAACCTTTAAGGGAACGGAGGCGTTACTTTAGAGGAGGAAATGGGGAAATTAATTGGGCGAATGAGACGATCGAAGGCTTACATCACCGAGGAACTCAATGAGGGCAAGGCTGGATCGCGCCTTCACGTGGTTTTTCACTACTTCCTCGAGAGGATCTGTCTCGCCGATGGCTAATGGCGCCTTGAAAAATTGTGGGAATTAATCGTAAGTGGAGTTAATTGGGGATTTATGAGGGGAAACGTCAGGAGATTTTTTTTTCATTTTCTCAGCTGCAAAAAAATCATCTGATATAATTAATTTGATTCATTTGATTCGTTATTTTATTTCCATAATTATTAAAATTTGATTTTGGCAAAATGCTAATTAAAAAAACCCAATTTATAAAAATGTTGACTTCCACTTTCTTCAATTAAATCAGTAATGATTAAAATATACACTACCTCCCGAGATCCAACAATTGACAAAAATATCGTACTTGATTTTAAGCGAATGTGATGAATATCGTTAATGACTGACACTAATAATCGTGTCTGACGAATCAAACTCACGTGCAGTTTATTAAACGACACCGCGACGACTTCTTCAGTTCTAACGTCGATCGCAACGATAGTGCAATTGTCCTTGATAACTTCGTAGAAAACTGTCTTCATGGCCTCGGGGCCACCCTCTTCCTCGTAGAGGCCGACCCCAAGAGCCACGTTCTCCTGTCGCATAGACTTCTGTTGAATTTCAATCGCCGATTCAATTTTATCTTCCGTTAGGAGACGATACTCTATCGTACCGAAAGGTCCTGCTTGCGAAGAGCCGAACATTTTTCTGTGAACACAAGTGTGTGAACAAATTAATTCAATAGGGAAGCGGTAAAATTCAAGTCGATTTTCACTATCGGCCAGTTTTTATTGAATATCTCGAAGTCTAAGGGAGATGACGAAATTTTCGTCATGACCTTTTTTGTAGCCCAGGATTAGCCGCATAAAAAAGGTAATTACAAAAATTTCGTTAGCTCCCTTACATTCGGAGATATTTCTCGAAAACTCAACTGAGGGATAAGTCTACCGTTCTACCGCTTCACCACTGAATTAATAAATAAAAAATGAGTAGAATTTTATCTTTCTATCCAACTTTTTCAATTTTCTTCATTTCTTTTCTCTTTAATAAAAGAATCAAGCAAAAAAACTTGGAAAATTTTAGCCGAGGAATTTCTATAGAAAATATCTCAAGAGAATAAGTTGCGTACAAAAATAAAATTCTGTGGATTTTTTCTATTAAATATTTTTATTGAAAGAAGCTCAATAGAATTAGCCGAAAACCAGCAGAAAATTCGATAAAATTTTCTACGATTGTTTTTCACGCGTGTTAATTTCCACTGTTTTCATTAATTTTTTTGTACATTTGAGCAAATTCACCAAGAAATACCTTCACTCAACACACCACATGCACTGCAGTTCCAGCGGTCCACTATCTAATTATTTAAAGATCCAATCCTCTCACAGAGACACTCGAGCCTCATCTGAAGGCGATCTCAGATTTCCACGCAGCCTCCGTAACTCGGCACTCAGTTAAACGAGTTTCATTGGCATCATGAGCCCTCCACCACGATTCAGACTATTTCCCATTGTTCCTAGGACACGTACATATGCACTCAAGTCCATTTGTTACATCCGCACTATCTCCGATGGCTCATAAATAACGACTGACCGCGAGGGTGAATAAATCGCCGATAAAGACTGTAATGAACACCGGAAAATCGATTGATGAATGAGTGTCAAGGGTATCCCCTATTTCCAATTTTTCCGGAATTTTTTTTAAACTCAATATTCGCTCCAGCGGTGAGCACTGAGACGGATGACCCGGAATTGATGCTAAAGAGGGAAGTCTCACAAGTGATGAGAACTGTGCTGCGACATTAATGAAGTATTCAACGTTTGTCGAGGATGAGTAACTCAATTTTGTGAGAATTGAACTGAGTAGAATGGAAATACAAGGCTCAATCAATGACATTCGTCGGATGAGCGTGAAAATACGGATTTTTTTATTTAATTTCTATTAAAATCTTTTAATAAAACGGAAAAAAAAAAGAGATGTTTTTTTTTTTAGAAAAATTGATTGATTTCAGTGTTTTCATTAACATATAGCTTCATTTCACAGAATTGTTTTAATAATGTTATGGGAGGGGGGGTCGAGAGAGTAATGTAAACATTATTATTATTACGTAGTAGTAATCGCGTAAAATGATTAGTCTCCAATTCTTAATTTTTTTCATTTATTATATTTATTCTATCGAAAGACACGGATAGAAATCGAATTTATGGGGGTAGGGAATTTCTATGAATTTTTGTCAATTTTCTAATCTCAAGTTTAGAAAAAGTTCGAAACATTGCTCATTAATTAATAATTAATTGCTAAAAGTTGAAGATTTCAAACGCTTTGAATTTGCTGATGACGTCACACAGACAGGCGCTGGACCAATCACAGAATGGCTCGGGCCGACTTGACCCAATCTTGAGGTGAGCCTCGGGCAATGGAGGAGGACAACTCCCCACTCTCTTCATTTTCGACCAATGAAGCGTCATGACCGAAAAATTGGCCTTGAAAACGACTGATTTTCAATGAATTATCATAAGACATCTAGGCAATATTTCTCCATAATTTTCGCCGTTGAGCTCTATGACACTGGATGAGATTTAGGGGGGGAAAATAGTGAAATTTCAGATTTCACTGAAATTTTAATGCCATTGGGCACTGAATATTCACATTAGTTTGGGAATTCAAATAAATTAAGAAATGCTCGTCTTTATGCTGTTTAAAATTCTGGAATTTTACTGAATTTTCAGTGAAACCTGAAATTTCATGATTTTTAGTCAACTGTCCATGAAATTTCATTTTTTTTCCAACAGTGTACACAAAAAAAAAACACTTTTTTATCTTCAAGGTGAAAAAGATACTGAACTTATCGATGCCTCATTTAAACGCGCGTAAAAGTAGCCAACTTTGGAATTTTTGTGGTTTGACTCCACAAAAATAAACGAGGAGATAAGAATGTCAAGACTGTCGTTCCCCGGAGTTGCAGTTTCTGGCACTAGACCCACTTTGTCATTTAATTTTTTTAAATAGAGTACTCCATTAATGTACCTCAATTTTACAAAAATTGAACTACCAGGTTTAATGAAAGCCATTCGTCCCTTAAAAGTGAAAAAATAAACATTTATTTAACTTAATTTACATTACAACAATTGTTAGAAAACCAGAGAAGAAAGTGGGATGGTTTTGTTTAGAAAAATAAATGTATTCCAGTGTTTTGGAGAAATCCTCGTATTTCCCCAAATAACGAACAATAAAATCCTCTGAACATCTCATTTCACTTAAATTCTTTTAGCCACAAGCCTCCAGCTCTTGTGCACATCATTAATTCGTTCACTAGCTTTTTTTCCATCGAAAACATAGTCCTCGAAGCTGACTTCAGCGAGAGAATTGAAGCCCAGCTTCTCCGCGAGTCTCTGGGAGTAATTCGAGGACATTATCGCGGAGACTAGACCGGGCACGCAGTTGGGGTTTGTGATGGCGTCTGTGCCGGCGACTTCAACAGGCGTCTGCACGTCTTTCCCGCGCTTTAATTGCCTCGCGATCTCAATGGAGGAGGCCACTAGGAGCTCGGCTATCCTTCGGCCCCTGTGGGAGCTCAAGGTCGCTAGGAACATCACCTCTAGGATGCAGTCCACGTTGTAGTGCTTGAATAAATCTACTTGAGAGTCCACCAAGATCATGATATCTACTAGACCCTTCGAGGATTTGCACTTGCAGTTCTCGCTGAAGAGCTCGAAGGCCGATTTTTCTCCGGATTTTTGCTGCATCTGAAATTCAACATTAATCAATTAATTCATCGAGTGGAATGGAATTGAATTGAGTAATTGTTCAATCCATTTCCAAACGAAGAGAATTGAAAAGAATTTAGAATTCATGATTTCGGTCTCGATAAATGCGAAATTATCGCAGTAATGAGTGGCTCTACGAGAAATTACCATAGAACATTTTTTGTAGAGCATTTCCTCATCTCCAAAAAAGGTTTTATGATTTTTTCCTCAAAACCCAGTCGTTGTCGAGTTATCGCTGCTTTAGGAATTGATGTTCGTTGAAAGAAAAATCGAGCGAGAAAAACTGCGCATACTTTATTTGCTCAATTATCTCAGCAATGAGTGGTTCTATAAAAAAACTTCGTAAGACATTTTTTGTACGGAATTTCCTAAGCTGCAAAAAAGGTTCTTATATATTTTCTTCTAATCCCACTCGTTACTGCGATAAATGCCCATTAGCCAGAATAAATTCCTTCGTCCCTGGGCTCGTTCCCCCGAAGATAGAGTTTTCCCCTTGAAAATCGCCCGAATCACCCAAATCACAATCAAACCATGTTCTCCCCGTTTACAAAGACTTCAGAGAAGACGTTTCACCTGAATCAGGCAATTACGAGCTTCAGAACCTTGAGAATATCTCCAAACGCCTCCAACAAGCGACAATCGATGCATTGTCCGGCCCCATTTAATTAAATCCGCCATATAGAGACCTGATTTGAATAATTTATCACCTGAATCTTGTTGAATGATACGCCGACGACCTTTCCGGTGGCCACGTCGATGGCGACGACACTGACCCCGTCGCGAGCCGCATCGGAACTCAACTCCTCGAGTTCCTCGGTCGCACCGGGTTCGGAGAGAATGTCGACCCCTCGACATGTGGTCTCGTCGGCGAAGAAGGCCTCCCGCATGACCTCGAGGGCTCCGGGCAGAGTTTCTGTGGTCAGGGACTCGAACTCGATGGCACCGTCCGGCGTCGAGCCCCAGGGACGGTATGACGGCATTCTTTTACGGCTACTGATAACATTTCGATTATCAATTAGCGAGGGGTCACTACTTTTGTCAAGTAGGGGAGGATGGGATAAAATGGACACTTGACTTTTTTAAAAATATTCATAACTCATACACATATTTATCAATTGAGCGCAGTCTAGGATCATCACAAGGGGGAAGAATCTCTCTTTATATTTAAAAAAAAATGATTCAATTTTATCAACAATTCAATAAGTCATTAGCATTTGAAAAAAAGTATAAAGTGTCCATTTTACACCAGTGTCTCCTAATGAAGAAATTAAAAAAAAAATGCCGAAATTTTCTTGACTTTCAGGGACGTTATGACGGCACGTCAGTTATGACGTAATGACAGCCACCACGGCATGACAACAATTCAATCCGCATTCTACTTTATCACAATTCCCCCGAAAGATAAAAAAAGTCTCGACCGTTTCAGTTTTCAAATAAAAAATTCGTGAGGCATTATTCTGGGGTAGCAGGAAATTCACTGACGATAATGAATGATTGCTCAACGGACTGATTCTGCCCAGCGTAAAGATCATTTTTAATTTAAAAGAGTTAAAATATTGAATTTTTTTGACAGTAAAAATTTTTATGTTTAAGAAATTTGAACGAAATGAGTATTTCGGGGGTTTTATATTCTACGATTGTTTATACAGCAAAATGACGCACTTCATGATGAATAAATCGTCGCAAATCCAACACTGGAAATGAACGTGACGCACTGAAGGTCCCCGACACACTGAAATTTCAACCTCTCCCAACAGCACAGGCAACTCTCTATTTATGCATGTGCACAACACATGTGTCTGTGACCCTCACACGCGATTGGAGGCATTTTGTAATGCGATAACAATATTTATCGTGCATTTCCTCTCGTTCGAAGAACATTGCTCTCTATTTTTTATCGCTCGTTGAATTAATCGAAATAGTATTTAAAGGTCATGGCAGTCATGACGAAAAATTAACAATAAATATGAATGATTTTTCTCTGGTAAAAAATTGTCAATTCAGTATTCTCTGAGTTGGCCTTTTCCTTCGTTTGGCGTTTTTCAATGTAGCTGTGCAGTTTTTTTCAATATTTGTTTTTGGATATTCATGGAATATTGTTTTCCTGTTGATCTCTGATGAGGCGTATCAAAAGGTCGAAGAAATATTAAATTAAAAATATTTATGCACGGACAAAAATGTACTTGAATCAAGTATATTTTATACTCGAATCAAGAATAAAATATAGATGATTCTAGTGTCTTATTCGGGACTGGGGGGGCTCCGCCCCCTGCTCGCTTCGCTCGCCAACCTCGGGCGGGCTCCACCCCCTCGCTCGCGTCGCTCGCTCCGCTCATTTTTTGGGTATGTTTAGGTGTTCGCATTATACAGAAAAAAAATTGGTAGAATGATTTTCCCTTAAAAAATTGAGATGTTGAAAAATCAAGGGCGTCTCCTGAATTTTTAAACCTCTTTATTTTTTTATTATATAGAGTGATTCGCGTATAAAATATACTTGAATCAAGTATATTTTATACACGAATCGCTCGAATTTTTTTTCCGTATGCCAGTGACAATTTTTCAAATGTAAAAAAATATTTTTCCCCAAACCGTCGAGTATGTTCCGCAATTCTCCTAAAAATTCCATTAAAAAATAAAAAGTGAATTTCTCAACGAATTCCGAGTTCAGTTTGATTTCGATTCTCTCATCACGTGGCTCTGATGCAAGGCCACCAACGGAAGCTTGAAAATACCTCGCGTTATATTTAGAGAATTGAATTTTCGGCCGTTAAAATTTTTCCAGTTTAAAAATATTGAAGTGCATAATTCGTTCAAAGGAACTAAATTTTATAGGTTTGAATATTCAACCGAAAATTTGGTGATATCTGGACAGAATGACCTGTATCCCTTCAATCTTGCAATGATCATCATCTGCCGGAATGATTACGTAAACGATTCGTAATTGGAACATAATCTCATACAGTTTTAAATTCCTTATTACGAATATGAATCATCCAGACGTGCAAAAACGTCTGAGCGTTGGGGAAAAAAATTAAAACACATCAGTCAATGACTTGATTATTGATTCCCAAGGAAAATAGGGGACTTTGGCTGAATTTACTCACGAGAATTCCGAGGAAGAGCTCTAGGAACACCTCCACATGATCCTTTCTCCGCAGAATTTATCACTTGCCGAAAAATCAGTTGTTCTACTCCGTAAAAAAACAAATGAGGAGATAAGACTGTCAAGACTGTCGTTCCCCAGAGATGCAGTTTCTGGCACTTGACCCACTTTGTCAATTTATTTTTATTATCGTTGGTTGGTTTTGGGGAGAACTTCTATTACCGTCCAATGCAAAATACAAATTTCGTCTTCACTTCCGTCCTTCGTAAAACGCGATATAAATCCTTATTACACACGTCGATCCCTTCTAATAGATAAACAAACTCTGGAACCCGGGGGAGTCCCTTTTAATATATTAGATCCGTTCCGTTATTTCGCGCGCGTCAAGATCGGAATTTAAACTGCGAATTTCAAAGTTTCATGTTCATAAAACGATAACTCGTTTTTTTTAGTTTTTATGAACATTTTGAGGAGGTGATGAACAGCGATCGGTCGGCAATCATTACATTTGTAATATTTTGTAATATTATTAGAATTTGCACTTTTCTATTACTATGGTTCTTTTGTCATAATTGAAATTTCAAAATAATAAAATGATTCATAATTTAAATTTTCTATTACCTGTTGAGTAAATAATTGTAAATTTCATAACAGGATTTTTTCGATTAGACATGTAATGGCCAATCTTCTGACACGACTACTGGTTGATAGATTATTTCGGAATTTGAATATTCGATTGATGAGTAATTTGGTAATTGAAAATTGTTCGGTAATATTATCAGTCAACATACGCTAAATTTAACTTATTTTGAAATTGATAATTGTTCCGATCCCTGGTGATGAATTTTATAATTCTTAGTTTGGTGGAGATGATCTACACAATTATTATTCACTATAAAACTCTTGCCAGATAGGGAAGAGATCAAAACAATATTGTTTTGGTTTTTTAAATTCATTTTCTATTGAATACACAAATAAATTTCAATTTTTATTTCATTATCGATGCATGATTATCCAAATATTTAATTTTTTTATAATCAAGAAATATTTTTTTCCTCATTTAAAAATGAGTACAAAATTTCGTGGAAAAATTATAAATTTGTGATCAATTCTTACAATTGTTTCTTTTAAATTGTCATAATTGCAATAAAAGCTTTATATTTCTGCATTTTCCCCAGGAGGATTTTCACAAAACTTGATTGATAACGATATCGCAATTTAAGGTGAAGTTCTTCCCCTGGAATTTCTGAGGAACGGGTCTTACTGAGGATAAACAATTAAATCTCATCGGTTTAAATATTTATTTAATTGTTTCCACGATATTTTCCAACAAAAGTCGTAAACGAATTACAGAGAATTGAGATAATATGGACACGACGATTTTATCCACTAAGGCGAGACGACTCTAAAAGTCGCGGGTCAATGAAATGCGATTTCTCATACATTGAAGATTGATTATATATGTCTAAAAGCGAATAATTAGTGCAAACGCTTAAAATGTTTAACCCCCCGCAAACAGTTAGGACAATCATTTGTTTGCACTAATTATTTGTTATTTAGCCATATATAATCGATCTTCACTGCACGAGAAATCTCACTCCAATAGCCCACGACTAAAACCCATAGTAGTCTCCCCTTACTGATGTCCATTCGCCTCTATATTTCGCGAACCATTACATCAACAATATTATTTTGTCCAATTCCTTCAAAAGTCCGCGTGCCCTCCAGATCCTCATACTCCAGCAAATCGACCCCCAGGATGCTCCTCATGCCCGCCCGTTCAGCGCTCCTCTTCGAGAACGGAGAGGTGAAAACCCCGAAAATCAGGGGAATCCCCTGCGCTCCGGCCCACGAAATTCCGCTCGCTATCAACTCCCTCGCGATTCCCTTCCTCCCGTGGGCTTTATCAACCGCAATTGCGTAGAACTCCATAGTGGTCCTGGCATCAGGGTACCTATTGAAGAGATCGGCCCTGTCGTTAATGTCCATCAGGTACTTGTGGTACTCATCAATCAGCGGAGATTTGGGGCCGTCGGAGGGGAAGATGTCCGCCAGGGCGTCCTTGCCCTCTCCGAACAGAGGGTTCTCACTCAAGAGGGTCAGGTTGGCTCCGACGATCCTCCTGGAGACGTTGTGCACTGCTAGGAAACACGTCGAGGCCTGCGATATCGCCCGGACGGATCCGTCCGAAATTTCGGTTATAATTCTTCTCTCGGCATCTGTTATTTTGAATTTTTCACAAAGAGACTTGCACATGTTCTCCTCGAAGTAGAAATTCTCCCTCATCAGGTCGAGGACCTGGGGCAAGTCCTCGGGGGAGGCTAGCCTGATGGAGTAATCACTTTTCTCCATTTTTTTTGGAAATTCGGAAGACGACTACTTCCGGAGTTTTTTATGCTGCGGTTTTTACGGGCTGTCTAGGGTAGACAAAGGAATTTATGGAGATTAGTGCGATTTTTACACTGAGATGGTAACTGGAGTTGTTAGACGACTGAATTTATTAGAGTAGTGCTGTCAGAGATGAACGTCGTCAGAATATGAAGCGGAATTTATGGAGGGGGAAAACTTAATTTTAGGGCGAGTTTTCGGTTCGATTTAACTACGGTTAGGCCGTGGTTAAAGTTGAGACCCCCACCACTCAGTCCAGTTTATCTAGGGGCGACGCCAATTCGAATTAAATAGTCATTTGAACAATGGGATTGCAACTCGGGAATCCACTGTAGAGTATAGACGCAGATTTGATCAGAGAGTTGTCAATGTGATTGTTGAACAAATTGTAAATATTGTTAAATAAATAATATTATTGGGATTATAATATTGTCAAAGTAATTCTAGGGTTGACAGCCTATTTAGGGGAGACGCCAATAGTTATTTGAACAATGTGATGACGACATTGAGATCAACTCTGGACACAAACTTAATCAGAGAGTTGACAATGTGATTGTTGAACAAATTGTAAATGTTGTTAAATAAATAATATTATTGGGATTATAATATTGTCAAAGTAATTCTAGGGTTGACAGCCTATTTAGGGGAGACGCCAATAGTTATTTGAACAATGTGATGACGACATTGAGATCAACTCTGGACACAAACTTAATCAGAGAGTTGGCAATGTGATTGTTGAACAAATTGTAAATGTTGCAAAATAAATAGAAGGCGGAAAATGGGGGATTATAACATTGTCAAGGTTCTTCTAGGGGTCAATAGTCATTTGAACAATGTGATATAACAACTCTGGGATTAACTCTGGCTAGTGTACAGCTTTTATAGTCACAATGTGTTAAACTTCATTTTTTCAAAAATACTTTTCTGGAAAAAATGTTCAGAGACTGAACTTGACATTGCGCCTAGAAAATACTCCTGATCTATTCTATAAACTCTGACGAGGATTTCTCGAAAAGAAATTGCTTGAGCTACATGGACATCCTTAACCCGGAACTTTAACCGAGGTTTAACCCTGCCTAGCTAAACCAAAAGCAGGCCCTGACATTCTCGAACGTGTAGTTCAACAAATCCCCAAACCGTCAAGACAGTCCGTGTTATTCGTCTTTATCCTTCACTAATAATCCCCAGACCTCATAAACAATAGCAACAAACAAATTGCTCTGCCACAGCATCCTTACCAATCCCCGGAAACAAAGAGAGCCCCCAAATCATCCGAGAGACCCCCATGATGCACTTGTCGAATGGCGCGGTCTCTCGACGCACGCGCACACCGCCACAACAAAATAAAATGGCCGACGAGCGAAATAAATAAGAGCCGCCTACGTGAATAACAAACCCCCGAGTTTCCCTCGTCGCAATTTTCCCCGAAGAAAATCCCCAGCGAGCGAAAAATTTCTCGTGTCCGATAATAAAGCTCTAATGAGGTGATTCCAGGGGATAATTACCACAAACGAGATATATCCTGAGGAGCACTCGGGGTTATCGCGAGGGACGATTGGACCCTGGTGTCACGCGTGGTGTCTCAGTGATAATTTAATCATCAGGGGATTTATCTCACCGATTTGTGTTGATACGTGTTATGTACCCGCTTGAAGCGGGATGCGTTCTATCCAATCGCCGTCGGCTGGCCTAGCTTGGCCCGCTAATCTAGTCATCGCCTGGACCACAGCATGAAGGAGATGCTTGGAGGGTGCTGCGTGTGTTCTGATGAGAGGGGATGGACTGAAAATCCGTTGGTTTACTGCGATGGCCAAGGATGCACCGTTGCTGTGCACCAAGGTAATTCGGGGGATGGGGCTGATGGTCTTGGGGACATTGTGGTGGTTTTGGCCAGAGGAACACGTTGTGGGGTGCACTAGGTGACTGGGATGTTGTCCTCGGTCTTCATTCCTGAAATGTGTTCTTCTGGGGAATGGGTTATTTCTGGGTTTTTATGGGTTCCAGGAGAGGTTCTTGGTAGTAATTCATGATCGGGGGGTTAGGTTAGGTCTGTCAATGGCCACATGATGATGGGAAGCTGTTGGGAGAGGGGAATGCTGATGTGAGGTGATTGGATGGGTTGGGATGTTTAGGGTTTGACAGGAGTTGATTCACTGGAGATTGTTGAAATTTGTTGGACTTTTGGGGTTTTCAAGGGTCTCAGAAACGTTGTCGTGGGGTTCATTAGGTGACTGGAATGTTGTCCTCGGTCTTCATTCCTGAAATGTGTTCTTCTGGGGAATACTATTTATGGGTTTTTATGCGTTCCAGGAGAGGTTCTTGGTAGCAATTCATGATCGGGGGGTTAGGTTAGATCTGTCAATGGCCACATGATGATGGGAAGCTGGGGGGAAGCTGGGAGAGTGGGGAATGATGATGTGGGGGTGATTGGATGAGTTGGGATGTTTAGGGCTTGACAGGAGCTCACTGGGGATTGTTGAAGTTCATTGGACTTTCGGGGTTTTCAAGGGTCTCAGAAACGTTGTCGTGGGGTGGCTAAGATGTTGTTCTTGGTCTTCATTCCTGAAATGTGTTTTTTAGGGGAATGAAGGAGTGAATGAGGTAATAAATCTTATGAGAGTGGCATTGAATCGGATTTAGGGAAAAAATCGTTATGAAATTTCAGGTTTTAAGTTGAATTTACGGAAATTCACGGGTTTTCAGTGGGAGTGAGATGGGAATTTTACAACTTGATTGAATTTTCAGTGGAATATGAATATTCAGAAACAAAATGATATGAATGTTTAATTTTTCCCCGAATAATTGAATTGAAAAATCAAGTATTTTATTGATTTTCAGATCAATTGACCTGAAAATCAATGAAATATTAGATTTTTCAATGACAAGATTTCCTGAAATTTCAGTGGAACTTGAACACGAGAAAAATTTCCGGAATTTGGCAGGGAAAATTCAGACGAAAATTTTTCATAATGTGTTGTGAATGGGGTTTTCTGGGTTTTTTATCGAGTCTTGAGGGTTTTAGTGCTCTTTCATGATCTGGGGATTAGGTTAGGTCTGTCAATGGCCACATGATGATGAGAGGTTGTTGGAGAAGTATGGAAAAGTCTTATGGCGGTCCTTAAATGGTTACTCTGGAGCAATCGAGGGTTCAAGGACATTCGTTAATTGAACATTTTAGGTTCCTTGAGCTCCTTAAGACCATAATTATGCTATTTTCTTCGAGACTGCGAATGTTTTTCTTCAGACTTATCACGAACACGTTTTTGAACGAATATAAAGACGTGAATAAAGAAATTTTTCTGTTTTTTTCTGAATTTTGTTCTAGATTGAACCATTGAATGTCAAACGATTGAAGGAATTTATTTATTTTTCTTGTTCTTGCATTAGATGAAAGTATTTCGATGCTTTTTGTGTGGTTTTCCCCAGATTAAAAGATTTATTAGGAATTAATTCATTAGGAATTGTTTGCATTTGTGCGATTTTAAGGGGCTCATTTAGTTTCTATTGATTTTGCAGCTTGCTATGGCATTGTCACGGTGCCCACGGGTCCGTGGTACTGCCGAAAGTGCGAATCGCAGGAGAGGAGCGCCAGGGTGGTGAGTATTTTCATAATTTAAACGTAATCATCAAGTAAATGGCAAATGGAGAACATTTTAGATTATCAAAATGAAGAAAAAAAATAGCCATGATGTTGGCTTGTTGGCAAGATAATACATGGAGCTTAATGGCAATATTGTTAATTTTGTTTTTTAATTTTCCAGCGCTGTGAATTGTGTCCAAGCAGGGATGGGGCACTCAAGAGGACAGACCAGGCGGGTTGGGCCCACGTGGTGTGTGCCCTCTACATCCCAGAAGTGCGATTTGGAAATGTCACAACTATGGAACCAATTATTCTCCAGTTAATTCCAGGGGAACGATTTAACAAAGTGAATTATCAATTTTTATTTGTTTCTATTAATTTCTGTTGCTCAATTCTGCTGTCAATAGGTGGTGTTATGTACTATTTCATGGTTTTTAGATGTGTTATATATGCGAGGAGCAGGGCAGAGGTGGCAGGGCAACTGTGGGTGCTTGCATGCAGTGTAATAAGACAGGATGCAAGCAGCAGTTTCATGTTACGTGCGCCCAGGCACTCGGTCTCCTCTGTGAGGAGGCTGGAAATTATCTTGACAATGTCAAGTATTGTGGATACTGTCAACATCATTATTCAAAGCTGGTGATTATTCTGAAACAATGTAGACTATTTCTACAATTATTCTCGTTCATTTTATAAAAATTTATTATTGATCAGTTTGCTTCGTGAATATCTCGGAAACTAACGAGTCTAGCAAAAAATGTCAGATACGCTTTTTTGTAGAGAATTTCATTAGCTACAAAAAACTTTCCGTGACATTTTTTGCTAAATCCTTTTCTTCTGAAGATATCCACAAAAATGTTCAAACATTTTTCTTTTCGTTTCCTCTAAGTGTGGAAATTTCTTCAGATCATTTTGTAAATATCTTGGAATTCACTGGGTTTAGAGAAAAATGTCAGAGAACATTTTTTGTTGCTCATGAAATTCTCTATGAAAAATGTCTCTGATGTTTTTCTCTAAACATCTTCGTTTTAAAGATATTCACAAAATAATTCCAACACTTTGTTGATTTTGAAATTGTTGAAATTTTGGGGAATTAATTTTGAGCTTCCCTTAACAAATGAAAATTATTATTGTCCCCTAGAAAAAAGGTGGAAACGTGAAGACAATTCCCCCCTACAAGCCAATACCAGCAGACAACGGTTCCTCAGACTCATCACCGGAGAAGGAAGCAGAGGCACCCCTGAAGACTACCTCCAGCACAACAAAACGAAAAGGTTCGAGTTCAAAATCTACAACAAGTTCTAAAACAAAATCAAACTCCAGTCCGAGTCTCGAGCTGAATGGAATGACAGACGACAAAAGTGGTAGCGGTCGTAATACCCCAAAAGACTCAAGTCAACATCAAAACACTGGTAGCAGTAAATTTACAAGTTCAAATTTCGTAGAGACCATTGTCACTCAGTCGGAGAGTGTCTTCGGTGTCGAGGGAGGGCAGTCGGGGGTTAAGTCGACATCTGTGGTGCACAAGGGCCAGTCCAAGTCTAGTTCTTCGTCCAACAAGACGTCCAGTCACACCAGCAAGAAGAGGAAGACTGGGGCGAGAACACCCACTGCATTGGGAAGCGAAAATTCTAATCATTCCGTGAGCTCTGAGGCCAGTGGATCTGTTGTCGTGGCTGTTGGAGCTGTCTCACAGACTCCCAGTAATACTGTGCAGCCAACTGTCACTGAGGCCACGAGTCTCAGCACTAATGCAGAGCCTGAGAAATCGAAAAAGGTTTTTAAATGTTTTTCTTCACTGTTCGAGGTTTTCTGGGGTTTTAGTCGATTTTTTTGTGTCATCTGGTTCATTATTGAGTGATGGGGATGTTTGGCTAGATAATTATGATTTGTGAAACAGTGTAGCACATTTAATTGACCACTTGATGAAGTTTTTTAAAAGAATTGTTTGATTTATTAAGAATTCAATGCATAAAGAATTTTCTTTTCGTATTGTTAAATGAAATCATCTGGATTAGGAGTGGTTCCACGAAAAAATCCTACAGGACATTTTTCGTGGAGAATTTCCTCAAAAATAACTAAGATTTATGAAATTTTCTCCCAATACAACTCATTATCAAAATAATTGCAAAATTGACAAGAATATGAAATGAAATTTCTTTGCAACGAGTCGATCTGTCACCTCTTCGTCGTTCAGTAATTAAAATAATCAATTAACGACTCAAGCAATCAATCATTAACTAATGAAAATGTTCCCCTCAATGAATCCAACGTCATAAAGTTGATTTTGATGATTTTTTCAGTTGAAAATTGACAGTCCTCCAGTTCAAAGTAACTCGATGACCCCAGTGACGACTGAGGCGACGACATCTCCAGTGATAATGTCCGTGACACCCTCGACCGTAGCCCAATCCCCCACAACAACAGCCAACAGTATAGTGGTATCAGTACCACTGACAGCAACCTCACTGGCCAGCTCTATACAGAGTATTGTAACAAGTGCCCCAACACTCTACCAACAGTTGCAACAGAGCATGATTACTACTGCTGCCATGACACAACCGACTCATAGCACAGTGTCAACTGTCAGTGAGAAGGTCAATCCTGACGATACGCCAGCTAAGAGATCGAGGTGAGACTATTTCAGTGAATTTTTGTGGTTTAAATGCATTAGTCGAATGCATTATGATTTATTTTGAAAATTTCAACCGCTCACATAAATTCATTTCATTATTGCAATAAATGGCGACCGCATAATGGCCTAATGATGGAGTTTTTCAATGAATTATTATTATTTGCTAGGGGGCTACGCCCCTGCTCGCTCCGCTCTCCAACTCCCATATGACCCCCATGACCCCTATTCTGACCCTTGAGAGCCTTAATCTCACCCTCGTGACCTTTATTTTGACCATTAATTTTAGAGTCTTAATTTCGTGTACCAAATTTTCATCACCAGAAGTCGATTTGGATTTTTATAATACAGAAATGATATATAGAGACCCTCATAAGAGTCACAAGGGTCAAAACCCTTGTGACCCTTATTTTCCGACGTCCATGGCCCTGATTTGGACCCTTAATCTGACCCATGTGACCCTTATTCTGCTCTTGATCTGACTTGTGTCCTTTACTCTGGCCCTCATGACCCTTATTTTAACCCTTGTGACCTTGATTTTTAAGTCTTAATTTCAAGTAAAATATTTTTATCACCAGAAGTTGATTTAGATTTTTCTAATATAGAGAGATTAAGTGTCGTCTAGGGGAGGGGGAGCTCCTGAGAGGTGAAATACATCTCATATGAAGATCTTTCGTTTTTCATCAAGCGATAAATAAATTTTGGTCAACGGTATCGCAATCCTAATTGATTAAATTGTTAATTTAATGTTTGAATCGATAATTTATCAATTATTCAATAGACTTCTTATTCTTTTCATGAAATTGATTCGATTAAATTATAATTAATGTTTTTAATTTTGAATAGGTGCTGATTGAAGTAATTATCATTATTTATTCATTGATTGTCTTCTAGTCGTGGATTTCCTGTGAAATTTTCCTATTTTCAGGAAGTAATAAACAAATTTTATTTCTGAATACAAATCCATTTGTTACGATTCCGAGCAAATGATTTTTATGGTGGAAAATTAATTGTTTATAGATTATTTATACAAAATGCTCGTGATTTTTAAAAAAATGCATTTTTTAATCATTTTATCAATCCTCCCACAAAAGTGAACTTTCTAATTTTTTTCATATTTTTAAACTGTTTTCCAATGGTTCAATATCGAGATTGAAATGCAGACCTGTAAAGTTTAAATAACAAAATCATTGTAAAACTTCGGGAAATTTAGGATCAATTGGGGCTCAAATGAAAGCTCTGATGTTCGACTACAAAAGTGGAGGAGCATTTCACTGGAGAAAAAATAGCCAAAGTACTTGGATATCGAGAAAAATCCTCGATTTCCCCAGTTCAATCAATTCCTCCTCTTCTCTTCCAGAAAAATTCCCAAAACCCAACAAACAACAATTCGTCAACAACCTTCTCTTCTCTTAATTTTCGAATCGTTCCATTTTCCCGCCACAAACTCTCCCGCACACATCTCGATAATGCCCCTTCGATAAATAATCGAAACCCCACGAAATTCGAGAGTGCAGTGCTCTGTGTTTTAAAATGGCTGACGTGGGGGGTAAACAAGCAGGTCCCCAGTCTTAACCTCTACTGCCCGTGATTATGATCTCCAAATATCAATGTTATTCGAGTTAAAAATCTTTTAAAATCCCTCAATCATGTGTCTTAAACGTCTCTGTGATTTTAAACAAATCATTATTGATCTCAAATCGTGAATTATCGTTGTGAAATGTTGAATTTTTTCGTCGTTGAGGAAATAAGTTAAAAATCAAATAGTAGTTGGCACTTGTGTTTATAACAGTAGTTGGGGAAGGCCTTTCAATGTGTATATCCGATATATCGGTTCAATCGAGGTCATTTCGTATCTGTGATTTGTTGGATATTGTTATCATCGTGAATTTTTCAACCATCGTTGGCTAAATTGCAATCTAGATTACGGTGGGAGTCATTGTGTTCAAGTTATTGGGGGGAGTCTGTCGGGAGTGTCTATGAGAAGGTAAAATCGATTCTAGGTTATGTTTATTTTTTTTTGTACCGCCAAATGCTGTGGAATGACTCCGAACAAATTAACAATTGGAATTCGTTTGATTTTGGGGGCGAGTGGGTACAATGGACCATTTAAATCCCTGACTGAATGATGCATTTTTTACAAATTTTATTTCACTTGGAAAATTGTCAATTATTTTGGAATTGAAAAACACAAGTGGGAAATTGCTCTTGTATTGTATAGAGTATAGTTATTTTTGCTACAAAATTTTTGACATTTTTCGAATAAATCAAAATAGCGATTATTGCTATCGCCTTCATCTTCAAACTCGGCCAAAGGGACATCCAAAAAAATTTTTTAAGCCATCATTCAATCAATTCAGAACATTTTTCAAGTTCTCGTGGGACTACCGATTTTCGAAAAAATTACAAAATTAAAAAAACTAATCGATGAATTAAACTTTAATTAATGAGGATCGATAGCGCTCAACAATACCTACATTTGAAAAAAAAAAAAGATTCAAGGCCATCCATTCATTAGCGAAGAATTGAAAAAAAAAACTTTACCACACACACATAGATAAACACATACGTACGGACACGGTCTAAAAATTGTATTTTCGGATTTTTTGGATCTCAATGGGTCGATAAAACACAAAAATCCAGAACTTAAATTTGATTGATTACAATACTACCATTTGGAAGGAAAAAAGCAATCACCCCCTGAAATAACTCGAAAAAAATTTCAGAACTCAATCAACGGAGAAGCAGGAGAAACGAGGGAGAACAAAAAGGATCTCCTCGAGTAGCAACCCACTGCCAGTGCCTCCAGCCCCATCGTCACTGCCCCCAACCACCTCCAACAACTCCCTGACCACCGTCAAACGAACAGGGAGAAGCTCCCAGCAGCTCCCACCCACGCTGCCACCGCCACCAGCGGTAACAGTGGCTCCAGTTCCCTCGATAATCCAGGGACCCACGCTGGGTACTGGCCACTTCAGCAGCGTGGGCTCTGGTGGTAATATGGGACCAGTTGTCAAGGATTCACCACCAAGTTCACCGGGTTCTGAGAGTATGAGCAGCACTGGACCTGGCAGGAGAAAGCGAAAGAGCGCTGGCAATACAACACCAACACCATCAGCATCAACGACACCAACGGCAATGCTGAATAATGCCAAGGACGAGAAGGACGTTAAATTATTTCAGAATGGTGTTAGTGCCCCCCATATGCTGGGTAATCAGTTGAATCCTACGTCGACAATGGCACAAAAGATGTCGGATACACTGAATCAGGAGTTGGAGGCACATTCGATATTCACTGAGGCCAGCAACTCGTCGACAAATCTTGTGGGACCACAGTTGCACAGCAGAGTCATTGCATCGATCAGGTCGAATCAGGCTGCACAGCAGCAGCAGCAGACTGCCACCTCATTCTCAGCTGTATTCTCACAGAACAGTAATAATTCGAGTCTCGGGGCTGGGGCACTGGGGGGTGGGGCCATTCCTCAGACCCTGGATCAACTGCTGGAGAGACAGTGGGAGCAGGGCAGCCAGTTCCTCATGGAACAGGCACAACATTTTGATAGTGAGTGTAGGGGGTTTCAAATGCTTTATTGCATGAGGTTTTTGCATGGGGCGTGCGGTTTAGGGAATTTTCTTGATACTTTTTTTTTATCGAGAATTAATGTTTCTTCAGAAAATATTGGTTGATATTTTTGGATAGATATCCTGACCACTAGACAATACCGAAATGAGATTATTACTGATTGAGAATCCTCATCGATGCCTAAAAATGCATCTCAAGACTTGATTAATTGTTGAGTTATAATTGTTGAAAATTTTTCTAGAAAATTGAACCCACTCATTTTTACTACAATTTCTTCGCACATTTTAATTCCAATAAATTTTAAGAGAATTTCGTAATTACAAATTCAATAATTTATGGGAAAATCTGTGGAAATTCTAAATTTTAGTTCATATATTCTCTGAATCTTCATCAAAATCAGACAAATGCAGGAGAATATATTCTTGAGTATTCAGTTAATTCATAATTCCATTGAATTTCCACCAAAAATTAATCCACTCATCACTACAATTTCTCCTGCAACTGTCCTTCTGCATTGATAAATCTCTCAACTAACATTTCAAATTCCAGTCGCCTCGTTATTATCCTGCCTCCACCAACTCCGTGCCGAGAACCTTCGACTGGAGGAGCACGTGAACAGTCTCCTACAACGTAGGGATCACCTCCTAGCAGTGAATGCCCGGCTAGCCATTCCCTTGACAACTCAACCGAGTAATCATCCACCGAACAACATTCATCAATCAGTGAATCAGTCCGATCCAAATATTCCACACCCTCACATATCACCGGGTACTCCAGCCTCGGTGTCGAGAGTCAATCGAGACTCTAGGGTGAATAACACGTACATGCCACACTCGAGCTCAAGTGGCCACTCAACGCCTATGGAAAATGGACTACCACCGGATCCTTCGCCACCCGCTGCTGCCTCTGTATCCCAGTATTCACATAGAGGATCTTATGTGCAACCTCAATCTAATCCACCAACGATAAGGTGAGAATTTAAATTTTAACAGATAACGGATATAATTTGTAACATTAAATAATGATTAATTTCCTCACATTTAAAATCAACAATCACCTTCAGAAAATGATAAAATACTTCACCAGTTAGTGATCATACTCAAGAAACAATTATTTTCGCAATCAGTGACCAATTTAAATTAATTTATCATTACTTATTCAACTGCCAATTTAATCATTAAAATTTCAAGGAATTTCGTAATTGAAAATTATAAAATTTATGGTTTTTCCCTAAAAATTCATAGAAATTAGGAAAATTTAGGTGAATGTATTTTTGAATATTCAATCAATTAAAAATTCAGTGTAAATTAGTCCCGAAAATTCACGTTCTTATTGGAAATTTCAGTAAGTTTAAGATCTCTCGTCTTCCTGCTGCTAAACAATTCGAAATTCCATTGAATTTCCACCAAGAAATTACCCGGAAAATTATTTTTAAATTAATTTACCATTAATCATTTTCTAATCTAATTATTGAAATTACTGATTATTTTGATAATGACATCTATCAATTATGATTATCATTCAAAAAACTTTTTGTGTGAAATTTTTCTCAAAAAATGATTTTCATCATTCTCTCCCAGAGAACACAAAGAATAAAATAAGAAAAATTGAAAAATCAACTCAAATTTCCCTCGCCACTGTAAAATAATTGCCTCAAAACAAAAATGAATTAAATCTCCAAATTAACGTCAAATATTCTCCCTCCAGACATAGTCCAGCAGCGAGTGGCTACCACCAATCCCAATCCGGCAACATAGTATCCCCAGCAACAGGGAATACCTCAGGAGTCGTTAGAAATTCCTCAGCAACACCCGACCCCCTCCGAGGAGTACCTAGGTAAGACAATGGCTCACCACCTATAAAAAAACAAAATAAGATAAAATGAAAATTATCTGCTCGATTAAATCGTCGTCGACAATCTCCCATCATCGATCGGGGCGACTTGACATCTTCATCCTGTAAATAATCTTAATTAAGCATCTCCACGAGATCGAATAGCCCCAACGAATCATCGAAAATGATTGATAGGTCTTCAGGCAGTTACATGTCGTCGATGTATCAACCGACGATGTCCAGTCTTACCAGTAATCAAGTAGGTAATGTTCATAATCAACACAGCCATGGGCCAACAACAACGAGCCATGGGCCACCGAATAAGCCGAGCTGAAGGTAAATAATAGGATGAAATTATTTATGATTATCATTGAGGTATTCAATACCAGCATTAACCACACTACACGGCCCCTTCAATTCTATCGCAGCAGCAGAAGATCATCAGCATTTGATCACCATGATCACCTATTGTGTCAATCATTTTCACTTATTTTTTTCCCCTTTCGTTTTGTGGTGATGACTCGTTTTGTTGTACTCGATTTGTTTATTAAGAATTGTGAATGTTGATGACGCTATTGCGTTGAGGCTCAATTATTGGAATTTAGTAGTGAATCGGTTAAACTGCTTGAGTCGATTTTGACTATTGGCCTGTTTTCAATGAATATCTCCAAATCTAAGGGAGATGGCGAAATATCAGCCATGACCTTTTTTGTAGCCCTCCCTTCGCTCTACAAAAAAGGTCATAACGAAAATTTCATCATCTTCTTTAGATTCGGAGATATTCCTCGAAAACTCAGATAATGGTCGGCTTGAACCGTTTTACTGTTTTGTTACTGAATTAATTTGGGGTTTTTAATTCATTTTTTCTGTATTCTTGAAATTTTTACAATTTTTTTTCCCTTTGGATTGCGGGATATTCGATGTTTAGATAGTTTTTACTTGAAATTCGTGAAAAAATATGTGTTCAAATGGAATTTGACTCCTGCATTCCCTGTTATGATTTATATTAAGTTTGAATGCCACTTATTTTTCTGTTATTCGTTGAATGCTGCGATAGTTGATCATGTGTTCTCGATTATAAAGCTGCCACTGAACAGGCCAGTTTAGTAATAAATTAAATAAATCTGATGATATTGGTCAATTCACCAGGAACAACTGAAGTTCAATTAATTGAGAGGGAAAATTGGTTTATTTCGATTTGAAATTAGTAAAAACAACTGCAGACTCTCGAAAAATCTGTAGCATTTAAGGACTTTTGTATTTGAAGGTAAACTAAAAAATTAGATAATTAGGTGATAATTATCTCGAAACAGCAAAGACTTGAATAAAATAACGAGAAACATAAATGAGAGACATTTTTTAATTAATTTTTTTTTTGCTGGGCTGATGATGGAAATTCGTGTCGTGGGTTGATGAAATGATTTTTAGACTATGTGTACAAATTTAATAGACTGTAAGGTGTCTAAATTCAGTTGACGATTAGCAATAATAATGTAGGTGTACATTGATAGATTTAGGACTGTATATTAGAAGTGATGCATTGAGGATTAAATATTAACATTTACATTTTTTTAATGAAAAAGAAAAGAAATATTGTGAAGAGAAAATCTTTTGTACTTGGGAAATTGGTGAAATAAAATATGTGATGACATGTGAATACCTCAATGCACTACTGCCACATTCGCACAGACGCACTGGTGATTATTATGGAGAGTTCTTAGATTTTTATTGATTATTAGGGGGGTTAATTAGTTAATGGAGAGTAACAGAAACACTGCCTTTTACGACATCAGTCAACATTAAATTCAATTGAATTTAGGAAGAATTTTATTTCAGTTTAAGGATATCCAAGTACCTTTTGAGCCCAAGTTTCCGGACATTTTACAATGATTTTATTATTTAAACTTTGTAGGTCAGGTTTCAAAATGCTTTTTGAAAGTGCTCATTTTTTTCTACTTTTTTGATGATTAAATTTGCCAATTTTGATGATTAAAAATGGTTAAATCTATAGTGTGGTCTGTACCAAACTGTAAAAAATACTTGGACATCCTTAAGGGAAGAACGCGGTGAAATTTGAATGTTGCAGGGTATTTTCCCCACCATGCTGATGATTTTAGTATTCATTTTGTATTCTCAAAAAATGAGAAAAAATCGAGTTTTAATTTTTTTCATCGACGGCATGTGGCTGCACAGGCATAAAATCTTCAAAACAGTTCCCGAACCAGGATTTTTGATGGATTGACTTGAGTTTTGGCCAGCACATACATGATATAATGACGAACAAAAATCTAAGCTTTTTTGAAAATTCAATTTTTTCTTTTTCGATTGTTTTGTCTTCGAATTCGTAGACAATGATATTCTAGAATAATGCAAATGGAAGGCCATGACACATCAATAAACTACAATAAAAAAATTTTTTTTTTAACATTCATTTTACAAAACTGCCATACTAATGACCAAAAAAGTAAAACAAAAATTGTAGTTCATTGATGTGTCAACTACGAAAAAATCGAAAAATTTGAATTAAAAAAAAAATCATAGTTTTTTTCCTCAACATATTATGTATGGATACCAAAATTTGAGTCAATCCATCAAAATCCTGGTAAGGGGACTATTTTACAGATTTTATCCCTGCGCAGTCACATGTCATCATTGGAAAAAATTGAAACTAAATTTTTCTCATTTCTTGCGTATAAAAAATAAGTACGAAAGTCATCTGTATGATAGAGACAACCCCCAACTTTCAAATTGTACCGAGGTCTCCCCTCAAAATTCAGTGACGATTTTGTCCTGTTTTAATTCATTAGACAATTTTATATTTAGCAAAACTCAGTCCTGACATATCGAATTTTTTTTATTTTAAAAATTCTGCCCACAAAATTTCTGAATTGAGTACATAAAAAAATGGGAGTTGAATATTTCATTGAAGAATAATCAAAAGAAGACGAATATCTGGAGGATATGGATGAAACAACAGATGCGGAGTGAATGAGTGAATTAAAATGAAATGATCTCTTGTGAATCTGTAATTCGTCGTATGATAAGGGCCTAGATTAATCACTGGCGGACCTCATACCGAGCTTGCAGGATGCGAATGTGTATCAGTAATAAATATCATTGCTCAGGGATAATCGTTGATCCGAAAGTGGAGAGAATTTTACCACGTGGAATGACAATTTTTTTTTCTCACTAATAAATTCTAGCAGTCGATAATTGATAAGACTTTTGTACGTTTAGATACATGAGGAGTAATCCCTGTAGTGGAAGAGGGGTTTTTAAGAGATGGAAAGATATTTTTTCACTGAAATTGTGTGCCAAATTTTTTCGTCATCGTGCGGAGGCTCGAGAGGTCGTCATCTCATTCCTTCATCTCAGTTTTTGAGAGAATATTAGAGAGATTGTGGAAGACAATTTGAATGTTGGGGGATGAGGAATTCTCAGGAGTAATGGGGATGTTTTTTAAGCTTTAATCTCTTGTGAAAAAATATTAGGATTCGAATGAATGAAATTGTATTTCTAAGCTTGAAAAAAGAAATGATCGAAGATGGAAAAAAAATTGAATTGGAGATGACTTTGGGTGTTTAACAATGAATGTAGATTCATAAATAAAAAAATTCATTGAGGAAATTTTATCAGTCCACTACTGCCTCGGAATTCACTCATCTACAAATCATACGACGAGAGAAAAATTGAATGAAAAAAAAGATGAAATCCCACCCAGAATCTGAAAAAAATCGTGAAATGGTGTGAAGTAACGCCTGACGTAGTTGAGGTAGGTTGCTAGCATTCTATTTTATATGTACAAAGAGAGGGAGAAAATACGTGCGACGAGGATGGCCTGTGGTATCGAATCTCGATGGGAATGTTGCACGGTTCAACCGAAATGCAACATTTGTCGAGACTCGATGGACTGTGCGACCCGATTTTGTAATGTAATTGTGCATAATAACGAAAGTTAATTAATAAATGACTTGATGAAAAGAAAATGGTGTTTTATTGGTTAAACCTGCAATACAGGGGAGAAATTGGAGAAATTCTGCCGGCGAATGCAACATTTAAGGCTACGCACTTTGAATGATGATCTCTTCGGAAAAAAATTACGAGGATTGAGACAAAATGTTCCTGAAGGAATAACTGGAAATCATTCAAGAGAATTTTTTTTAAGACTAGGGGGCTACTACGATCCCCATCATCCTTATTCTGACCTTCGTGACCCTTAATCTGACATCTGTGACTTTGTTCTGACCCGCGTGACCCTTCTTCTGAGCCTCATACCTTGATTTTGAACCTCATGACCCTCATTCTGACACGCATGACCCTTATTTTGACCCTTGTTGCCTTAATCAGACCCTCATGAACCTCATTATACCCCTCGTGAATTTTAATCTGACCCATATGACCCTTAATCTCACCCTCGTGACATTTATTCTGACCCTCATACTCTGACTTTGAATCTCATGACCTTTATTTATCTTATGACCCTTATTCTGCCCCTCCAGACCCTTTGGGGAGTGTTGAAGGTCTCTACGTATGGAAAAATTTAATAGAAAATCCTGGCGAATTTGCTAGACAATTCTATTCGATTTCTATTGAAATTTTCAATAGAAAATATTCTGTAGAAAAAGTCAATGGAATTCGATTTCTCTATATAACTTACTGAAATATTTTTTATAGAATTTTCTTGGCTAAAATTTTTCATGTTTTTTTGTTTGATTTTCTTGATGAAAATATAAGAAAGATAGAGTGAAAAAAACTTGAAAAATTTGAGCCGGGGAAATTCTATACCAAATATCTCAATAGGATAAGTTCTATAGAAAAATCGAATGCTATTGATGTTTTCTACAGAATATTTTCAATTAAAGATTCCAATAGAATCCGCCGACAATTAATTAAGTTCAATAGAAATTCAATGGAAGTGTATTGCGAATTCGCTAGGTTTTTCTGTTCAATTTTTTCGTGCGTGTCAACTTGAGGCTTTTGAAAGTCTCCATTTGAGATCATAAGTTTCAAAATAAAAGCCACTCATTCGTTCAGTCATTGAACTTGGTTGATTTGACTGGTCAATGAAAAAAAAATTAAAGATTTCTGAGAATTTCAACAGTACAAACGAACAAAAATACTTTATGAAGATTTTCCCCCAATTACAGTTTCGTGTCATTCAACGAGAAATGAATACCTAATGTTTCCCTCACTTGCACTTAACTTTTCACTTCCACCGAGGCACCGATGACAGCAAGGAGTGAGGGATAAAGAGAATACGTACACCCTGACTGTTCATATAAACATGGGAGATCGTGAGAATTCATCACCTGTGACCTCATGCTACATCCGCAAATCGATATAGACGTAGAGTCGAAAAACCGTTAGCTATAACTATTCGTAGCGTGTGCATTCACCTGTCGTGTATAAATTTGTTATTGTTTCGTTAATTATTCACATTACATTCCTCATTTATTAGATTTTTAGGGGTACTGTGATCCTTATTCAAAAGCGAAAAAATGACATCAAAAAAATTACCGCGAAGAAGCCAAAGGTGCACAAAGGTCAAATTTTTAAAAATTTAGAAAAATACAAAAAAGGGTAAATCACAAGAGACAAAAATCAGAAGAGTCGCAAGGGCTAGTCGCACGAAGACAGAAGAATCGCAAGGATCACAAGAGATCACAACGGTGGAAAAAAAGGAAAGCACA